TATTATATTATATTATATTATATTATATCATATCATATCAACTTCACTGCATTGTATTATATTGTATTATATTTTATCATATTATATCATATTAAATCATACCTTATCATATCACGTCATATTGTGTCATATTATGTTACATTATAATATACTATGTAATTTTTTGTTTTTGTAATTTTTTGATTTATATTAATTAGTCTTATTTCTCTTTATTTCTTTAGTTAGTCTTATTTACTTCACATTTTATCATCCTGTGTTATGTTGCACTAATTAATGCATAGACTTGTGAGTATAGTGAAAATTTTCAGTATATTTTCATGTATTTTTTAAATTTTTCTAGTAATACAAATTGCGTTTATGTACTTTGACTTGATTAAAGTACTAGGAGAATGTATAGTATGGTATATCCGTTCGCCTTGTTTTGTAATTTCTGACTAATATTGGGAAAAAAATTCCAACTGCAAGACCAAGAAACTGTTCTTCTTCGCTGATTGTACTAGTTCTGTTACGTAAGATTGACGCCTTATTTCACAATTTACGCGGTTTTTCGGTTTTGGTGAGCAGGGTGTAGGGAGAATATTTGTGACACTATTCTGGACTACTTCCTAGAGGAGAAGCTCAAAAAGTTTGAGTTTCGATGCTTCTGCACTCAATATTTAATAAACATAGCAAATGGCAGTGTAATCTGCCGTGAGCGTAGGGCAGAAATTGCTACATAGTACAGATTGGAGTTATCAGCAGAATGCCTGCACTGAGTAAACGAAATTTTTGGTATTCCTTCTGGTATGTTTGATTAATGATTTTCAGTAAATGAAAATGATTTTTGTTTTGAAATGAAATGTTTATCTGTAATTTATTTGTATTTTTAACTTTAGCTTATTTATTTTTATTAGCATTTTGGTTGGATAAGTTTAGGAGTTGATTATGCAATTGATAAGCCATTAAATTTGGTTTGATGTTGTTCGTCATAACTGACTGTCCGTTGCAATTACAATAATTTTTTTTTCATAAGCAGGAATTTTCGATTTCAATTATAAATACAATTACAAATATAACAGTAGAAAGTTGCTGGAAATGAAAGACAGTGCTAAAACCGGGTTAACAATATTCCAGTTCTTCTTCCTCCTCAGTTTGTTATGGGTTTCATGATGTATCAATATTTGCCGCACTCAATGCACAGAAAAAATGGAGAAGGAACGCTTTTTTTACTGATGCCTTCATTCTTCATTTTTTGTGAAGAACGGAAGAATGTCAACATAGCAAAGTTTGATTGTAAGAGAAAACAGGAAAGTAGAAAACAGTTCTTATTATTATTAATACTGCGAAGAATCAATCACTTTTTATTCAAAATGAAGTTTTGAAGTTCAGATGCAGTTCAGCAAATTTACATCTCGGTTACAGCATGACTGTTGTGTTAATGAGAGGCATAAAGCAAAACGGAAAAAAGAGTCACATCAATGCTTTTTTGACATGCAAAATATTTTATTAATTGAAATTTTAGCGGTACTGTCTCTATTTTTTTGTTTTTAAAAGTATCTGTGTGAAACTTCTTTCCATATATTTTCAGGCACGGATGAATTATTTCAATCTTTTCTTTGCTTTTTTCTATACCTCGAATGTGGAAGATTTACAGAATTGAACAACACAATACGGTAGTCACGTTCGCGGGAACGGTCTCGTACCCGCGTATTCTTCGGGGTATTCTTCTGTCAAATATTTCTCTTCAAACTTTTCTTCATAAGTTTCTTTAACAATACCATGATCACCCAGTCCGTTAGGTCTTCGCCACTGTGTGCCATGACCAATAGGGGAATAATCAGGAAATCTGCCTCCGTATCTACGATTTTCGTCTAATCTTCTTATCTGATTTGTGTGTTCTACGGGAACAAGAACTTCTTTGTTGTGACTTGAGGTAGCAGCATTTCTGTCAATGACAGTATTTTGTGATTCAATATCAGACAGTCTATCGCTGCTATGTCTTTCCCTGTAAGTGTTACGGAGCGAGCTCTTAGGTGTGTAGATAGGGTTTAAATATCCATGTGCATTATCTCCGCCAAATTTACTATCATCTATTCCACGGCGCATCGCTCTTTCGTAGCGACTGTCTTCAGCTGCTTTATCATAATGATTAGTTTTTGATGACTGATTGAAACTGTCACTGTGTCGTGTTCGCTCGATGTCAGCTGGAAGAGGTTCATAACCTTTGGCTTGGTTATAACTCATATCGCTTCTTCTATAACCATTTCGGGCATCATTTTTACTGACTGAAAGTTAATGTTAAGAAAGGATAGAGTAGAAGAGGTCAACATGCAGAGTGAGTGAAGTTTTTATGAATTGGGAAACAGTCTAAGAAATGCCAGTGAACAGGATTAGTTTTGAAGCAATCATTTGTTACTTTTTTCATACCATATATTTATCAAATGCTTGTACAACAGAAAGAGAGGAAAGCTGTGTACCTTCTAGAGATTCTATTTCTGCAATTGATAAACTAAAGCTAAAGTTTAAGATACATGTATCGATACATACATGTGCAGTTATCAAAATTAAAGCTTAAAATAGTCAGTGAAAAAGAGGACAACAACGACGAAAAGTCTCAGCAGCTATAAATAATAATAATTATTTTGCAGCAGCATCAATTCGGTTTCTTTTTTGCTTAGAAACCTTCAATAGAAGGGGATTTACTGATCTACTGCTGCCAAAACACTTTGTCAAAGATGCAGTTTCTGTCCTGCATTTTCAATTCTGACTCTGATTTGTAATCAGAACCGTAATTCTTGAAAACTTACGCACTTGTAATTTTTTTAACAGTTGGAGAATGGCAGTGATTACACCACTGTACTACGACATTCTAATGTTACTAGTGCGACTACTATAAGGAATCTGTTAAAAACTTCTGTAGCCTTCAATTCGTGAAATTAACGGTAATATGTAAAGCCTCAAGATATCAAAGAATTAATGAATAGTCAGCGTTACTTATTTTATTTTAGTAATGACGCTTCTTTAATCATTGCTAACAAATTTTTGCAACTTGTGTAACCATGACTGAGAATAATAAAACATCTGCTTAGAGGTTATAAAAAAACTTAAAAACTAGAACCTTTTTTGGGTTTTGGAACAGGTTTCGGTTTTGGTCTTCTTTTACTGCAGCACCAAGCAAGTGTACCCAATGCAAGCAAAAGCAGTAATAAAGCAAGCGCTATAAACAAAATCATTAACCTGAAAGATGATTATTATTAACGTCGGCCTGAAAAAGTAATTTTTACATTTAATTGAGCTTTAATATTAATTTGACACTTTTATTTGTGCTCTGGAATTTTGATTATGCAAGCAAAACTAATTTTAAAACAATAACTAGTTTTTTGATATCGAAAAACAAAGCATTTCTTAAAATAGCAGATTTCTCATTAAATCAGACAGTATATATAGGTTTGTAAAAAGCATATATATTTTTAATGTGAATTACAAACTTATAAAAGTAAAATCAGCACATCGTAAGAGATAAAAAATTTCTATTACCAGAATGGTACGGTGACCTCTTCGACCGTACAGCACGAGTTCTTACAGCATTGCAGATCTGGTCGGCACCTTAAAAGTTTTGCTCAATTATTCTGCTAACCAAAATAAAAAAAATATATACTAAACAAATAATTTGACAAAATTCTTACAACTTTATCAACTTTAAAAATGCACCAAAAATCTTGACGCACCTAATGAATTTATAGTTGAAATATTTAACATTTTTGCAAATCCCTCAAAACATCAAAAACACTTGTTAACCTACCTAAACATTCCTTAATCTCTTAATCTTTTACGCTGTTTTCTTATACTATTTTTAAAAGCAGTAGTAATAAACAGTTCAATTCTTTCAACAAGCAAATAACAACTAATAACTGCTGCATCTTGTTAGAGACATTTTAATTAAAGTTGCTGCTGTGAACTTTCTTTTTGAAGTTAGATTAAAATTAGAATTGACTGTAGCTTGCAGATTTTTGTAAACAAAAAAGAGTTTCTGTCAATGCCAAAAAAATTTCGATTTTACATTGACAGAAATCCTTTTTTGGAATCAATGTAAAAAAAAAAAACTGTTTCTCAACAAATACGGGCCATAACGCTATCGTTAACGTTCTCACTTTTTGTTACAGCAGAAACTATGACAAGTTATAATTTAAAATCTTTTGATTATTCTTGTAAATCGACTATCACTCTCTTAGTTTCTGTTAACTAGAAATAAAATTTATGTTCTAGGCTTCAAAGTAGACTTCAGAATGCTGTGCATTACCGAGTTTTTTTCGTAAATTAAAATAAAAAAAAATTTTCAAATTTTTGATTAGTTAAGTTTTAGCGTCTTATTTTTCCGTGGTTAACCTCAAATTGTGTGAGTGAACAAAAAACTTTTGATCTTTCTGTATAAAAGCATAATGAATTTTTTAAAAAAAGAAGACTTACTGTAAAACTAAAAGCTCAGACAAAGAATTTTGAAAAATCTTTTTGTTATTTATAATTTGATAACGATTATTATCACTCTATTTTGTCATCAACAGTTTTGTTTTTCAAGAGCTATAGTTGATATTATATTTTCAAAAATATATTGACTTAATCACCAGTAGACTGTAGAGAAGATCAGAACATTGTTTCATGAACTGTTATTACAGTTTTAATTTTTGTCATTTTTACGCTAAACTGTGCTATAAAACGAGTCTGGACAACCTTCACTTACTTTAGTTCTTTCAACATCGTCTTTAAAGATTCTTACTGTTGTTCATTTTACTAACCTCTCATAATGTTTAAAACTTTATTTGATTTGCTTTGTCTACTCTTCAATTTATTAAAAACCTAAACCTTAAAAAACCCCCTAAAACCTGGATCCAGAATCTGTTCCTTTTACAAGCTTCTTTAAAGGTTAGAAATTTGTGCCTAGATCTTTAAAAACAATCGTACAGCCTCAAAGCGTACAATTCATTCACCTCAGCGTCATAAAATCTTTCAAAATTTTTTGCATAATTTGCCCGCAATAGACTCTTTAAAATTAAATATATAATTTTCCTAAAAGCTTCGTCTGATAACTGAAACTGTCAGAACTCTATTTTTAACTTGTTTATTAAAAAATATTTACTTTTTTTAATTTGTCTGAAAGAATTGACAGCCTTTTTTGCGCTCTCTCATGTGCTCTAAAATCACTGAACTTTAAAGAGCATTCTTCTTACTGTTACCCAAATGACCACCTGTTGCTATCTATGCAAAACAAATACAAATTTGTTAAGGAAACTTACTTAAACCCTGTAATATTTTCAAGAATCTATTTTATTTAAGGAAGAAAAACAGTCAAAGATTAGCCTTGAATAAAAAAATGAAATTCTTTTAAAACTCTATACCAAACCTCATTTCGTAGCGTTCATTAACTCCATCGACATTCTCTTCAAATATGCACAGTTTGTACTGATCCTCGTACCCGCCATATTTGACACCATCACTGTTGTCGTGAATTTTAATATCTTCTAAGTACTCCATCCAGAGTTTTCTGGATCTAAATTTATTATTTTGCTAAATAATATGTTTGAAAAAGATACGACGAGCGAAAAGATTGCATAGTTAAAACATCAGCTAAGTGTTTATCAGAGGTATAATACTACTCCGTCAAATGATATTTTTGATAAACTCTATCAGATACTGCTGTTTGGTAAACGGCAGTATTCAATACAATGTAAAAAGTTTAATGTTTTTTACAAGAATAAATAAATAAATAAGTAAATAAAAAAGCAAAAATTTAGAGAAAAAAACTGTTCAGTAAATTTTTTTAAAATTTTTAATTAAGCAAAAAAAAGAACACTTGAAAAAAAAACAATGACAAGCATTTTTTTTCTTTAGCGCTGAACTAATTAAACATTTGGTTATTGGTAATTTAATTAGTAATATTTGGTGATTGAAAATGCAAAAAAAAAAAAGAAAGAAAAGTAAAATACAGGCAGGTGACGACGTTTAGAAAAATTGTTTCATCAAAGTTTTGCTTTTAACAAAATAACAAAAGTTTCAACACCAAAATTTTTTAACAATACAATACAAAGAAACAAAACTTATAGTTTTACAGGTGTATTATTCAATTCAAATAGCTTTTTTCTGGTACAAATAGATAACGATAGTTTTAAATAAACCAAGTAAAAAAAAATCTGATCACTATTCTTGTCAAAAAAAAAAAAATTTATACCTAAAAATAAGAGGCAAAAACCCTTTCAGCCAACCCCAAATTACACTCCTTGTTGCAGTCTCTATTAAAATATTTTTTCTTTTCTACTGGGAGGTTATTTTAATTTGTTGCAAATAACTGACTATTAAGTAAGCTTTCTTGTTGATTTTTTTTGAACAATAACAATAAAATCAACAATAAAATTAGCAAAAAAAAAA